GACATAGACATATCTCCCCACAGTCCATCATTCGAAAAGACTGTCTTTCTTTTACAACCCTGTACCTCTTTCCCTCTCAGTTGCCTCTTTCTTTGGCCTGTTTTATGGAGCTTAATACAAAAATAACTATTTATCTTCCAGAAGTGCAATACTATGCTAAACCTTTTATCCAACTTCTACATTTTTGCACTTCTAATTTTAAAAACATACTATAAGGAAAGATAGAGGTGAAAAAAGCAGTTGCGAGTCCAGCCAGCCATTTTATCCATAGTCATTCTTAGTGGCCTTCATAATGGGGGTGAGCCCTTTACCTACAAACTTTGTACTTTGTTAAGGGAAACCCTCTTTTTCATTTCATAAAGTTAGGACGTATGCATGTATGCATGAATCTTTTAGGGTATTGTTTAAGCACAATTAGCATGTCTATATATTCCTAATAAGATAGCAAATCTTTGAGTTCAGGTCCACCTTATGTGAGTTGAAACCTTACCATCTGAAAAATTAACTTTGTTTCATTAAGAGACAAGATTCCTTTTTAGGTTTCAGTCTGGATGGGTCGAGCATTTCATATTTTCCTGATCTCTGTTTATCTTGCCAAACTCTGCTTGTATTTGGCATATATACTGTACGTATAGTTTGCATAGTACTAAGCTGGCATTTAATGACTTGTGACCATTCCATTTTTTTTTATCATTCAGCCATTTCAAATTGGCAGTTGATTTAACATGCCTACAGTCATCCTAATATTGCAAAATTTCCAATAGTGTGTCCTCCATTCACAGAACTCATGCTAAAATGTAGTATTTACTTTGCCATGTCAAAGTTAATGTGAAATTCCTTTTCATATCAAAACAAAAAGTCATTGGGGGTGATTCAATAAGGCATTTGCAACATATTTCTGGTCTGGTCTAGTCTTGCATCAAATTCATGAAAAGCCTGCAATATTGTCTTTGTTAGTACCGATGTGCGTGACTTTCAATCTCTTATTTGTGATACTTTTACCATATGGCACTATTATTGTGACAAATTTACGAAATACCGCCATATTGATGATGAGGAAAGAGCAGGTGAATAAGACCTCTTTCAGAAGTAGATTGTTGAATGTTGCACGCGTAATTATTGTTTCACATCTTTAAGATAATTCTGCAACAAAATTTGTCTTTGAAAGTAAAGTCCACCTTTTAAGAAAATAATAAATGCACACTTCTTCACAAAAAAATTTAATTTTGTTTTACATAGGAGTCAGTAAATCATTGCAACCACCATCAGTATATCACGTGTGCAATGCTCTGGCTCCTGCAGATTCTCCCTCCCGTCGATGTCCATACCGAAGTACGGACACTCAGTAACGCGGAGGACATACATTACCTCCTAATTTAAAACTCACTTATTTTTAACTTTAAACTTTATCATTTCGATTTGTTATACGATTCTATTTAATTTTCACTGATTAAGGTTTTATGTGTATGGAAGTTCCAGTATTGTCCCTTATGACTGATGTCCCTGACTACTGTAAGAAGACTCAAATCTAAAGCCTTTTTTTTCATTAGAAGCCCATGGCAGTTTTTTCCATCTCAGGAGATTTCACTTTACATCCTGTTCTGTACAGACAACAGAGTGTGAAAATAAATCCCCCAAACGTGGGTTAAAGGAGAATTATGAGGTGAGTGATTTTCACTCAGCCTCATAATCTGAGCCGACGTGTGACAATGAGACTGTCACAGGTCGGCTCAGTAGATCAGGAAGTGAGCGAACAATTACTGGCGCTCGCTCACTTCTCGATCCTGTGCCGGCAGAGAGCCGTGACAGGTGAGGGACTGGATTCCCCCTCCCTTGTCCGATCCTCCAGCGCTGACTGGCGGAAAGGATGGGGGAGGGGGCGGGTACAGCTGGCTCTGCCTCTAGATAGGCAGAGCCAGCTGTCACTCACGCAGCTGGGTGGATCCAGACATAATTGTCGGAATCCGTTCTGGCTGCGGCGTCTCAGTATACTGAGCTTTGGGTGACGGGAGGACGCTAGTTTGTGTCCTCCCGTTACCCTTAGGAGAACTTTGGGGAAAAGCCCTAATCCCATATTTCTCATTTAAAGGCCCTCTTAAACAGTTGTCCCTGAAACAAGTGTCCCCACTTGGGATATTTCACCGCTGTTTCTATTATGGTGACCACAAAAAATGTTGAAATTTCCCTCACTTTCAGTCTTGGTTACAGTGGTCACAAGGACAAATAAAGAGATGAAATCTCCCTATTAACGAGACAGACAGCATTAAAAACCTGACAGAGGTTTTAACCCCTCGCCGTTCGATTAAAAACTAAAAAACAGAACTCTGACTCCTTTTTGTCTAGGTTCTTTAAAAAAAAGGTATACTCGCCCAAACCTCAGAGCCAGTTGGCTACCACTCCAGTCCCTTCTGTCTGTCTCCTTTTCCACTGCAGCGATGGTATGTCCCTCGGCTTTCTCACGTCCTATACACTGTGTATAGGGCGTGATGAGTTAAGCATCCTTAGACCTCTGCAGTGGAGGCGGAGAGAGGCTCCAGGGACCGGTCTAAGAGCAAGGTGGCTCCGAGGATTGGGTGAGTATAACTTTTTGTTTTAACACTTGGACAAAAATGAACACTTAACCCTTGCAGTGCGGTGGTAGCCCCACTGCAAGGGTTAACAGAAAAGTTGCCTGGAGTTTAGGAATTAGACTTAGATTTAGGAATAAGAAAGAGAAATTGTCTGTTTGAATAAATGTGAAAAAACTCAAAGGGGAGGTTTAAACTGAACACAGTTTCCTTTTACGCAGACAGAGCGTCTGTGCGGTATTAAGCTAATCAAGCGCCGTTGAATGTCCTCCAGTGTAGTGATCCAAGCAAGAGCACTGAGGATTAATTTGATCTAAGTGCGAGCCATAGATTTCATGTGATAAGTGCATGTATGGATTTGTACAAGGTGAACATTTTCTTATATTTGCCCTCCGTGGACAAATGATTTGCAAGTCAAATGCATATTACAAAAACTGCCAGTGCTCATAGATACCAATTAGATTTTCAGTCATTGTAATTAGCGCTCATGTCTTTTCTTTCTCCGCAGCCTGAAGTATATGGTGAAGCAACTAGAGAATGGAGAGGTGAACATTGTGGAACTGAAAAAAAACTTGGAGTACACCGCCTCATTGCTGGAAGCTGTATATATCGATGAGACACGGTGAGGCACACACATCAGTCACTTGTATGCCTGGACTCTAGATGTATGTGGTATTGCTATAGTCAACATCATTTATTTTTTTCCCATTCAACACAGGATTGTATCTGAATTGCTCTAGCTCACTTGATATGATTAATGTTTGCGGTATTTTGAGTGTAAAATTTACAAAGATTACCAGATGACTTCTCCTCGTCCACCACTTAAAATGCTGCTGGTGATACCGTGTTTCCCCGAAAATTAGACACTGTCTTATATTTTTTTTTTTTGCCCCAAAAACACACTAGGTCTTATTTTCAGGGGATGTCTTATTTTTTTTTTTTTCAATGTACAACAATCTGAAGTTATTAATGTACAACAATCCAAAGTTATCTGGTATCACTCTGCCTGTCACAGTTACCGGCGCTATAGAGGAAGTTTCGGCTAATGCGGCTCTGCTCCCTCCGCCGCCGCAGCCTTGCTTTCTACAGCGCTGTCAGGGACAGCGGTACCAGTGGTGCAGCAGTGGGGACATCAGACAGTGTACAGCGCGGTAAAGTACGGTACCATTTACCGGTACACATTACAGTACAGTGCCATTAAGTTAAGCAGTTCCTTCAGGGGGCCATAGGCAGCCGATTGAATTAATGACCGACCTGAAGTGAAGTGAGCCGAACACTGTTCGGCTATTCACTTCAGGCTTGTACGGCTGATTTCAGCCGTACATCGGCTTGCTTCGCATGGCTTCGGGTCGGCCGAACATGCTCAGCATGTTCGGCCGACCCGAAGTGCTTAGCCCTTACAGCACCCCTTCGGTTCTACTGAACCGAAGGGGTCCTGGGGCCAAAGCTAGCCGAAGCTAGCCGAAGGATCGGCCAAAGCTACGGCTAGATCCTTCGGCAGCTTAGTGAATAGACCCCACAGTAATTGTGAGGCTCTATTAAAGATGAACTCTGGGCAAGACTTTTATTCACCCTTGTAGTGCGTGGGTAACTGCTTGTTTTTGTCTAGGTGCTAAAATAAAAAAGTTATTCTCACCCGAACCTTGCAGCCGATTGATGGTATTTCCCTCGGCATCCTCACGTCAAATACACTGGGGGGAATTTATCAAAACTGGAGCAGATAAAATATGGAGCAGATTTGCACTGCAACCAATCAGCTTCTATCTCTCATTTTCAAATCTTAACTGAGCAAACTGTAGAGAGATGCTCATAGGTTGCCATTGGCAACTGCTCCAGTTTCTCTCTGCTCCAGTTTTAATAAATTCCTCCCCACTGTGCATAGAACATGATGACTCAGGATCCTTAGATTGCTCCAGCAGAGGGGGAGTGAGGCTGGAAGGACCAGTCTAAGAGCAAGCTGACTCTGATGTTCGGGTTAGAATAACTTTTGTTATTTTAGCACCTTGATGAAAACAAGCATTAACCCTTGCAGTCTGACAAGAAGAGGG